GTGTTATATAAAATATTTTGTTGTTGTGTAATTAATGAAATCTTTTTATATCTTTTAAGTCATACATATAATACATGAAATAATTCAAATTATTGTGTATGAGATGGCTGACAATGACAAAAGATCCACAAAGTGCTGTATATGGTTCCAGGGTAAATCCTGAGGGGATCTGACTGACCTTATCAGACAGCAAAAGTTACATATTTAGTTATATAGGTCTTGCTTTAATTTGGTTTCAACCATCTAGCAGAAAAGTGTGACCATGAGGTATAAAAAGTAAAGCTAGGGGCTGGTGAGATGGCTCAGTGATCTAAAGCACCTACTTAGAACAAGCTAAGCTAAGCAAGGCACAGGGGCCGCGGTTCAATCCCCCAGCACCACATGCCAGCCAGCCCTGCCCCCTGGAGGGCTGAGCTGGCCACACACACACACACACACAAAATTAATTAATTAATTAATTAATTAATTTTAAAAAAGTAAAGCTATATTAATATGCTTAGTTGTAAAAAGCTCAAGTCTACAACTTTGGACAATTTTCCACTGTGCTAGTAACTCACTACTATTATGGACTATTGGACTATATTGGGTTATTTTGCTGAATTCAAGTAGTTACATTCTTTGGACTGGCATCAAGTATGAAAAGACCCTTTATAGACTTCTCCAAATACAGCTTCTCTAACAGCAATGGAACACCCATCTCTGACAAAACAAAACAAAACAGGGGGATAAAAATAAAGGATGATTTTGTAAGGAAATATATATATATATATGTAAATTATATATACGCAAATTATATGCACCAAGCCATTTATATAAGGGATTAGAGCAGCCATAGATGTAGGTATCCTCAGAAGTACCTAGAAATAATCACCATGGGAGAACTCTGTAAAAAAGATTGAAATATTGTGAGATCAGGAGACCTTAGGGCATCAATGTAGTAAAAGAAACAAAACATCCTAGCTTCACAACCCAAGAAAGCATCTCTCCTTTTAGCAGTTGGGTGAAGGAGTCCCAGAAAAATTTCACAATCCTCACAGGTTTTCAGCCACTTGGTGAGGTTACTTACCTTACTTTGCAAATGGATCTTATCAAGACAGTTATAGTCAAGCAATAATCTTAACAAGGAAACAATTCTCAGAAGTATAAGGCAAAAATAAAATCTGAAAATCTGTAAGAGAAAAATGCCAAGTTACATTTAAGGTTATCCCAATTAGAGTAACAAAAGATTTATCAGCAGAAATGGTATAGGCCTACAGGGAATGGAATGATATATTTAAAGCCTTGAAAGAAAATGA